AATTTCTTTGCTCAAGAAAATTCGTGGTAGAGGCAAAGGTCCCCCTCCCCACGGGAATAGAACTTGGCTTCTGTAATTCAAATTCGAAGCTGTCTTCGTACCATTACACAACATTTACAAAAAAAGGCGTGTTGCATATCATGGATATATACTGAAAACCGACATTTAACACTGTTGTTAGAAACAACCAGTAGTGGAAGTAATAAAGGACTACAATTCGCTTGGTAGTAGAGGTGAAGTTAATTCATTCTCAGCTTAGTGCTCTGCAGGAAATCCAAGTCTCACAAAGTGTCATGCACCCCCTGTTTTCCAATTCGTTTTACGATCAGGAATCTGTAATAAGTGAACTTCGGTATCTTCTGCCGCTTTAAGTCTTAGATAGGGCTTGCCCAGTTGATAGAGCGTCAGATTTAGAACCGAGTTGTCTCGCTCTGGGTTACTCGCCTTTTTTCTTGTGAAGCTTCATTGATGTCTGTTGAAAGAAAACAGGAAACTGTGCAATATGTTTGCCACATCGCTACTGTAGACTCTGCCATTAATATAAAGTACTCCTTAATGGTGGTATGGAATTTCAAATCCGCGCTCCGATGCCAGAAATGGCTCCCAAGTCATGAAAGTGTAATGAGACAAGCTTTCCTATGTACTTTAAGTCTGTGTGATGCGCAGGGTCCGTTGCGTTCGAATCCATTTCATGGTCTCAGTGGCACCCGTTGGGTGACGACTGCCAATATAACCGGTTTAATTGACGAATTTGGCACGCGACAGACAAAATTATAACGCCGGGTCATATGACAGTTACTTAATTGACGTGTTTCTTACGGTTATTACGAAACGAATATTGCAGGGCAACCCATCGCCTAGGGCCAGCGGAAGACGGTGGGCAGATCGGGCCGTCGCGGCAGCGGCACGCTTCGGTGTCCCACTGACCGAAGCCGATGCGCAACGAGGCAAATGCGCATCAGCCGCAGTCGTCAGGTCAGATTCCGCCCTACTAATGCCGTCATCGTGAAGACGCCGCACTCCAACTGGTTCGGGTTCGTTCGTTTCGGTTTCAACAGTCTTCTGGAATATTTTAGTGTCTTCCGCCGGTGGATTGTAACGCCTGTCGCCCACTCCCTTGACGGATTCGAGAGTACCACGACGACATGCATCCGAATGCCCTGTGGCCGATCACGCTGTTGTGCTACTTCCTGATACTGGACGGTAAAAGAATTACCCTTCCATTTATAAATTACGAGAGAATATTAAATATTTAGAAAAATAGTAGTAGATCAGAAGTTTTCGTATAAACTTCAAACTTAACAACAGGAACTAAGAAACTGCGGGACGATTTACTCTTCATCTCTTTACATGTCCACCTCTTGTTCTCTGAGTGAAGAACCGAGGGTAAAAAATTTTGAAGAAGA